TATATATAAAAACAAGAGAGAAAAAAGTTTCTATTATCAAGGCAAATGTACAACTATATAATACTGAAATTTAAACAAAGAAAGATTCATGACTGGTACCATAAAATGTCCTCTCAGATAAGAGCAAAGGAAACATTTTAAAGTACATTTCAAAAATCCATCCATACTTAATTTTTTTTTTTTCCCCTTAAGGAGTGGTATTTTTAGTCAATTTTTCCTTCTCCTTTTCCTTCTCACCTCTCTTTCTGAGTTGAAAGAGAAAAAAATAAATTAATGGCATTTCAGAATCCCAAATCGCTGCTTATAGCTTGACATAAACATTTCCTCTCAAATCAAACACAATGAACCCCCCCAAACAAAAGAGAATGTCCTATAAAAACCTAATTTTTTGATTTCTTAAAACACAACTGGTGTCCCACACACTGAGTTCTTAACAATAGAACATATAAATAAAAAGGCAGTGTTTTCATGTAAAATAAAAAGTACATAAATAAATATGAAAAAAAGGAATTAATTTGTCTTTTTTTTTATAAAAACATATTTAAAAAGGATCCTTTAATAAAAGCATCCAATGTCCTTTTAAAAAAGATCTCCCTCGAGCTTCTAACTCCCGCTGAGCGCCAGCGTCTCTGAAACACCGACTTTTACTTAAAGGCTTCGGGGATGTGTCCCATTTGCGACTGCATACTCGTGGGAGGGCTGGAGATGCCCTCAGACCAGTCGGACACATTGGAGTGAGGAGATGAGCTGGACCACTGGTCCGGTGACTCCGGAGATGGCGTTAGGAACGGGTGGTCGGGCACCTGGAGCTGGTGGCTGGGGGTGTTGTCCAAGGGGGAGGAATAACTGTGCTGGGAAGGTGGAGTTAGAAACTGCGTGGTGGTCATGGGCTGGGCGAGGGAGGACGGCAGAGACGTGGGCAGCATCTGGGAATCTTGAGGCAGGATGGTGTGGACTGCCATGGTGCTGCTGCTCACCGGCTGCATGGCGGGCTGGGTCAGCTCGGG